GTGCTCAACTGACACGGAGTGAACAGTTCTAGGAACGGTCTCTTCATGCTCACACCGCACTGAGGGGCCACGGACTGCGTCTTCCCACCACCCCAAGTCCCCTCCCTGGGCCGAGGGTGCCACTTGGCCCCGGAGGGCTAAGATGTTCTTGCAATGGCCCCATGGTGCTTCACAGACACTGCACAGGGGGCTCTGCTTGGGGAGAGGGTCCCAAACCATCATCGGCCTTGGGGGTGCCGAGAGAGAGAGGTGACCTCAGAGCCCCAACTCTGCCTCCCCACCCCCAAGTCTGAGCTGAGGACACTGCTCCGTCACCCTGGACCTCTCTGACAAATTCCGTGAGCCCTCAGGACGGCACGGCAGGGTGGTCCCAACACGGTCTCCACTACACAAGCACGGAGGGTAAGGACTGGGCCTACCCTTGAATGTGGGCTGGCCCCGATGGGCTGGCCTATCACAAGAGCACTCCCTAATGGCTAGGACCTTGTCTCTCGTCCCCACACTGGTCAGAGGAGAGCTTGCCACTACAGGCACTGAGCCTAAGCAAGCCCCCAAAGACAACACGGGTGAGGGGCTGCACCCAGAGTAGCAGGTGATCCATCAAAAAACACCCAGGCAAGGCTGCACATGTCACCAGGGTCAGAGGAGCCTCAGGTGCCACCCGCTGGTGTCCTGGTGGGAACAGACACCCTCAGACCCAGGGAGCTCCTTGCAGGTCAGACCCAAGTAGGGCCTAGTCCTGTAACTCTCCAAACTGCTGCCCTGCAGGTTCTAAGTGCCCCACTGGCCAGCAGAGGGAAGTATGTCTGCCACTTTCTCCCACGGTGACCAAGCAGGACTGAGGGGCTGGCACAGCAACTGGCCACCAGCCAGGAACGCCTGCTCCAAACCCCCAGCCTGGCCACACGCACGGCTCTGTGACGGAGACGGGCCAGGCTGAATGAGGTCCCCATAGATTCCACTCAACATTATTAACAGGGCAAAGGGCACCCCAGGAAACAGCCAAGTCTCCAAGTTCCACAGCAGCTCTGCTCCAGAGCCTGGGCCTGAAGCCTTTAGGGCTAATGACAGCTTATGGTCAGGGGACCAGAAAGCCTAGGGCAAGTTCAACCACCTAGAAGAGGGGTTAACAGCCCCAGGGTCCGAGCTGCTGGGCATCCAGCCCCCACCGTGCCTGAGCCAACACGGGCCGGGCCTCCAGGCCAGCCCACAGCCGATCACGCTGACTGCCCAATCAGGCCAAGCGCTGAGCCAATTGTGTGCAAAGACAAAAGGGACGCTGACGGTCCAACTCTCTGGTCAGGCGGCGGGCCTGAACAGAAAGCTGACCAAGTGGCCTGGCTCTGGCCACATCAACACACCCAGGGGGCCCTCCTGCCACCCTGGGGGTCTCTGGAAAGTGGTCCCAGAGAGAGCATGATTCAGGCGGCTTCAGTCCAGTGACCTTTGGAAACAGGTAGACAGTCCCTCTGGCCCCTTGTCCCCATTTGCCCCCAGCCCTTGGCAACCAGCCCGCTGATTTGGGGTGTGTCCCAGGAGGGCTGACTTACAACACACGGTCCCCAGGAGTGATTGGTGGTGCTACACTGCATGCCCCCAGGAGCCCTGGTGGCCCAGTGGTTACACGCTGGGAGACTGACTGCAAGGTCAGCAGTTTGAAACCACCAGTTGGTGTGTGGGAGGAAGAGGGAGCCTTGTACTCCTGTAGAGAGTCCCAGGCTGGGAAACCCACAGGGGCAGTTCCACCCTGTCCACCTCTGCGGGCTGCTGTGACAAGGGACAACTTGGTAGGGCGGGGCTGGGACAGCACCTGTCTCACCTGCTGGGCTCTACCTTCTGGTTGTCACTCTACCTCTCACATAAGGGAATGAGGGGCTCTAGAAGTGCAGGATCGACCCAGGCAGTTAAGTGGCAGACCCAGGATTCGAACCCGGAGCTGTAGACTGCAGACAACAAGTACTGGAGCCCC